ATAATCACACACCACAGGAATACTCTGCATCACCTTCTTCTCCTTCTTAGCATCAATCACGAATGCTAAATATGATGTACATCCCTTGGTCAAACACTTTCTGGCTTTCATTAGGGAAATGATTCCAGAATTCACTCGGCGTTTGTCCCCATACACCATAAATGATTCCTTCCCAGGCGGGTTTACTTTAACAATCTTCTTCTTGCATAAAATTTCGCATCATTGGCGCTGAGCCAATCCATTCCCAACACGATGTCGAAACCGTTAAGTTCGATAGGCAATAATTCCTCGCAGAACTTATTCCCATTCAAGTCGATTAAGATGTTTTTCATACGATGGCTAACAGGTACAAACTTGCCACTAGCAACTTCGACTAATAAAGCATTATCTAGTCTATCAACAGGCAAAGCTAGTTTTCTACCAAATTCATGCGATATAAAGGAGTAGTTGGCTCCAGAATCAAATAAAATTTGGGCAGGCAAATTGTTAACGAGAAAGGTACCTGAAGCGACATCAGCTTCATCCTTAGCAGCTTCCAGTGTCATCTGGAATGCTCTCGCCTTCGGCTTTGGTGGAATGTTGGGCTTAGCTGCCTCCTTCTTCTTCGGACAGTCTTTCAAAATATGCCCCTCTTCATTACAACCAAAACACATCCTTTTGTTGTTCGGACATTCATTGGCAAAATGTCCAACCTTTCCACACTTGTAGCAAGTTACATCCTCGCTACATTTCCCGAAGTGCTTTTTCTTACACTTTTCACACCACTTCGCTTCCCCTCCTTTACCCCCACCAAACCTTTTCGAATCAGATTTCGAAAATTTGCTTTTCTTGCCGGAACCAGATGTTCCCTCAAACTTCCTCTTCTCACCAACCTCAACCTTGTTGGTGGTTCTCCCCTTTATCATGTTCTCAACAGACTTGGCAGCCCAGATAGCTGCCTCTAAAGTATGTGCCTGACGTACTGGCACCTCATACTCCCATGGGAGTCCCTTCGCATACCGGTCCACCTTCGTCAGCTCGTCTGGAACGATACGCAAGGCAAACTCCATCTTATCGGTGAAGTTATTGGTGTATTCATCAACTGACATACTGCCCTTAGTCAATGTCAGGAACTTGTTCTCCAACTCCAACAGATTTTGAGCCGAGCAGAACTTGCGCTTAAACTGCACCAAGAACTCTGCCCATGACAATTGCAGTGGCTCATTAGGGCTCAAAGTCTTCCCTAGAGTGTTCCACCAACGAACGGCTCCACCTCGGAATTGACGCACGGCATAGATGGTTTGCAACTTACCTCTGCAGCCACACGTCATGAAGGCTAGCTCCATTTCGGAGATCCAATCCATAACCCCAATCGGATCCTCCTTTCCATTGAAGGTCGATGGTTTGCAAGTCAAAAAGTCCTTGTACTTGCATCCCATTCCATCATTCCTTCCATCGCGGTTATCTTGCCTAACTATCGGTGGGTTGGCTTGACCAACTGATCCACTGAAGTTTCCACCTTCCGAGTGCCCTTCATTTAATTCAGGCTCTTCCACACGAATCGACAGTTCTTCACGATTTTGTTGAAGCAACCGTCTAGTTTCCTCCATCTGACGATCCAACATCGTCTGAATCATCAATTGCACACCAGCCATGGTTATTGGCTCAGGTGCTGCTGCTACAACAGGTCTTTGTTCAATCACTGGTGGTTGATTCCTATTTTCATCAGTTTCCAACTCCACTTCTTGTTCTCACCATTTTTGATCTACACACCGAATAAGGTGAAATTAGATCCTTATTCACGATAGATATTCAAATCATCCTTATCACTCCGAAACGTTTACATGCTAGTTCTAATATCGTAGACGTACGCTTAGAATCCTACACACATAAGGTTTCTAGATCCGGTCGGCAACAGACCATAGATCCGAACAAATAATATCATATATGGCAACATACAACATTTAGCACATAAAGCATTTTAGGCAACTTTCCTAAAATAAACTAGTGCTCGTGTCTAAAACATAACAGACACACATCTCAAAATTCCACTTAGCATTCTAAGTTTAAGTCTAGAAATCCTAAAAATTTCTAGTTCGCTTAAACTAATGCTCTGATACCAACTGTGACATCCCCAAAATCTCGGCCAGAAAAGACCGATTTCATTTATGCTTTTTAAAATAATTTTCAGAGTAAATCCTTTTAATTTTAAAAGAGATGCGGAATTTGTTCCCAAAAACAAAACATGATAAAATAGATATTTATCAAAACATTTCATAAAGAAATATGATTTCATTTCATAATCAAAAGTCGGGATGTCATGTTCCGATACAGATCATAAAGCATAAACGATAGCATTACAAGTCTTTCAACAAATATATACATATACAGACTTGTAAACAAAACAACTTGATGTTCGCCCATCTTAAGCTCTTGCGCCACTTCCTGTAAAATAAATCAACTGAGTGGGTCAGGCTTGGGAGCCTGGTGAGCATGTAGGGTTTTCAACCCACAATAAATAATTAAATTAATTATTATCAACCAACAATAACCCAGTTACCCATTCCCGTTATTCTCACTTTATGTCCCTAAATAACTAACACAAGGGACCTAGTCTAAGAATATTTCATCGGGGCGACTACACATGCTTCGGGGGTTCCTCAGCAATATAAGTCAAATAAGGCAACCATGGGGGGATGGAATACAGCGAATGAACACCCAAGTTCATTAACACCTACAGGTTATGAGCCTGCTAGCGTTCCACTGGACTATCTAGAAAAGTCCGTGGTCGTCATCTAAATTCCGCTAGATGACTGGATCAAAACAACATCGAGGCCTCTCATCTGTTTATTACACACCAACTATCTACCCATATTCTACCCAACATATTAGTAGATAAAATATACATTTTTATACGTAGTTTCAAAACCTGTATAGCATGCTCAATCAAAACATTTTTCACATAACAGATGAGGCATACACACATAACACGTATTTCATAGAGAATACTTCAGATCTATAAGATAGAAGAGAGTGAATATACACTCACACGTATAACAACCAAATATATACACATAACACGTATTTTATAGGAAATACTTCATAATATTGTGTTGGAATGAAAGTAACTACACACTCACTTGATCAGAAGATGATCGGGCAGCACTACGGCTTGCAGAAGAGGTGTTTCTCCGTAGATCTGGAAGATCTTCACAAAACCGGGCTCCTCGCGGGCAGCGTTTCGGCTCGGGAATAACGCTCTTCGGGATTCTCGGGGCTTCGGATCTTGCTTCGGGGCTCGAGAATATTACCGGGGCTTCGGGGTATAAACGGCACGCAAAACGAGGCAAAACTTAGAGAGAAAGAAGAGTTTGAACAAGAGAAAATGGCTGAATTCGAGTTCTATTTATAGGCTGCTGGGTCTGGGATTACGCGGGGCGTACTCAGTACGCGGGGCGTACTCGGGTTACGCGGGGCGTACTTTGACGTCACTGCGTGCGTCGACTGGTGGCACTCGAGTATTGGTCAGACAAGTTGCAACCGACTGAGTACGCGGGGCGTACTCAAATTACGCGGGGCGTAATTGACTTGTCAAACTTCTAAATTGCGTAACTTTCGCATACGAGCTCCGTTTTCGACGTTCTTTATATCCACGCGAAGGTCAGACCATACTCTACAACTTTCATTTAGACTCCATTGGCTAATTTTGACTTTTATTTTTATTATTTATTTTTAGAAGGCCGAGACAGAAAAACTTCGTTATAAATTCATAACTTCTTCGTCTGACGTCCGTTCTCGCCTAACTTTTCATCGTTTCGCTACTAACAATGATATCTTCGATTCTCATTTAGATTGTTTCGGCTAAAAACCGCTCGATCTCAAATCGAGTATTCGGGTTGCATACTGCCACGTCGAAACTTCAGAAAATCATAACTTCCTCATACGAAGTCAGATTTGGGCGTTCCTTTTATGCACGCTCTCGGTTTAACGAAATCTACGACTTTCGTTTAGATCGCTAAGGCTAAATATCGTTCTATCTTAAATTCATATTTTACGTCACTCGGCGTCGTGCCGGTTCTGTCTCGAAACTTCGACAGGTCATAACTTCTTCGTTATAACTCGGATTTTGGCATTCCTTATATCTCCGAAATCCTTGTTTCGACCACTACAACTTTATGCAAAGATATCGGGCGTATCTCACACTTTAATTTTGACGCTTATTTCATTCTTAATTCATTAAATTATAAAAATCAAGAAAATAAACACATAAATCACATAATTCACATAATTCACAAATAATACATTCTTATTATTTCAAGTTGAGTTACAAAGGTTAACCTAGACTATTACATTGCTAAAAATGGCAAGCCCAGAAACACGGGCGTTACAGTCTGCCAGGTAATCTTTTACGCTTTGGTGGTAAGATGTTATTCATATCACTTGCTGGCCACATTTCATGTCCATTAATTGGCTTAACATTATACTTGTAGCAGCTTCCAAACATTTGTGTTGTGTACCAATTTGCTACATACTCCTCTATATTCCCATTCAACCACAAGATTGCAAAAATAGCATGTACACATGGTATACCTGTCAGCTGTCATGATCTACATCCACATGTTCTTTTATGTAAGTCAACTGCATACACCTCATTCAACCATCTACTCTCATATTGATGAAAACCACTTGGAATTACTCCCCAAAACCTGTTATGAAATGTAACATATAAGTTATGTAAGTCAACTGCATACACCTGTTATGAAATGTAACATATATGTATATATATATAATGTATAAATACCTCTGTATTTTCTTCATGTCCTCAATCTTCCTTCTTATTGAGGGACAAATGTCCAAGTTCCACTTCAATCCCTTCCTTTTCTGAGTAAACATCCTTTCCATGACATACACTCTAATGTCTTCCAACATTGCTATTATTGGTTTTTTTTATAGCTTCCACAATAGCTGCATTAAATGACTATGATACACCATTTTCAATGGCATCACTACCACTATCTTCCCTAAAAAATGCCCCGGACCATGTGTTTGGGTTTTTTTTCCATCAGGTGTTCATAGGCAGTATTGTCTATCAGTTTGATCTCCTTCATGATGTCTTCAAATTTTGTGGTTGTTGTGGCCTTGGCAGCAAACCAGAAAAGTTTCCTGTATTCAGCTCCTGAGAATTTTTTCTTGAAGTTGGCATAAACATGCCTGACACATTGTCTATGCTCACATTCTGGCACTCTTTCCTTAACTGCTTCAATCAATCCCTATTAAGTAACATTTTGATGTCATTATAAGTTAAAAATAAAATAGAAATACTATTATGAAAAAACAGTTGAGTACCTTGTGTTGGTCAGATATGATGGTTAGTCCTCTACTTTGTCCCATATCAATGTCTTCAAGTAATAGATCCAAAAACCATTTCCAATTTGCCTTATTTTCAACTGGTACAACAGCCCGGGCTAGAGGATACATTTGGTTATTAGCATCCCTACCAACAGCTGAAACTACCTCACCTCTACAAAGTCCCTTTAAAAAACATCCATCTACACCAATCACTCTTCTACACCCCTAAATCCAACCATCCTTCACAGCCTTGAAGCAAATATACATCTTAGAAAAATGGACTATAGAATCAGGCATGATATCCACATCCAATTTCACTGTGGAACCTGGATTGGTCCTCAATAACTCCAAACCATAACTTCTAAGCTTTTCATAGTGTGCCACCAAGCTCCCTTCTATCTCATCCATTGCAAATTTTTTGGCATTTCTACACTGTCCAAAACTAACTTTTAGATTAAAATCTCTAAGGACTGCTGCTGCCATTTTCCTGTAACTAATTCTTGGATTATTTATTATGGTTTCTATTAACTGTTTTCCAATCCAACTATATGTGACCATTGAACCTAAATTTAAGGCCCTACTACAATTATGTTCAGAGATTAAGGACTTAATCTGAAATGATCTTTCTTTACTCATCCAAGTTGCCCACAACCTAAAAGGGCATTTAGACTTCTCTTCACCTTTGCAACATCTAACTAATAATCTTGTTGAATCATTTTTTTTCATACCACAGTTTATACCCATTAGCAACAGCATAATTACTTAACAAATGCTTAAGTTCATAACGATCACAGAATTTTATACCTAAGATTGGAGACATTGTATCCCATTTTTGGTTAGGATCATGAACTGGATACTTATGAAGATTTTTCTTGACATCTTTCTTATCATCTTTCTCATCATCCACAATTCTTGGAGGCTTGAAAAATTTTCTTCTAATGAAAGGATCATCAGATGGATGTAGTTGTATCACTTCATCATCAGGCTCATGCTCCACGAACTCATCATCTGAAAGCTCAGAGTCTACATCATCATCATCATCCGCATTACCATTTACTAATCCATCTTCAGCTATCTCTTCTTCAATCCACTCCATAACTGGATATTGACTGTGATCAATGTACAAACTGATCATACCCCCATTCTCATACCCAACATCAAGGAAACGAACATAGTCATTTTCATCTTCCAAGACTCTTAACCCATCTCTCAGTGAACGTTGTGGAAGACAATAGTACACATTGATTGTTCCATCCTTGACCAAGTTCTTCACATACGAGATGAACTCCATGAAACTCATGCTTCTGAAATTGACATTGCTAACAACCATTTTTACTGGATTGAAATACACAATCGGTTTGGGGACAAAAGAACTTGTATGATTTACTTCGATTGTGAACTTGGAATCCATTGTGATTCTGTGGAAAGGATGAACGAACGAAGTAGAAGGAAAAAAGGAACCCTTGATTTTGGGGAAATAACGAAGGGTAAGGGCACAATTATTCTAATAAATCTTTTAACCGGCTAACCTATAATACCCGGTTTAATGGTATTTTTTTCACTAAAAAAAGAATAATGGTGTTTTTTGTACGTTTTTGAAACATTATTACCCTTTTAAGTCATTTTCCCCACTATTAATTCAAAGAAAAATTAAATTATATATATATATATATATATATATATATATATATATATATATGGGCAAAGTGAATATACCTAACAACCTTATATAAGCTTAGGTACCTAACCTCATCAAAGTACGTCATTTTGCATTAAATTTTCATTGCAATCATCCAAGGTTCTTAAACTTCATCCCTAAACTTGATTTACTTTAAAAAAAATTGGAAATTCATCATTATATTTCTCCTGCATCCTTTCGTTTGTAGCGATAGGATATAAAGCCCATCAGGTGGTATTCGATAGAAAGACGTGATGTAAAAGAAAAATATTGGTGAAAGTCCAAATATTTTGGAAGCAATCAAGTTATGGGGTTGAAGTTTAAGAACCTTAGGCAATTACAATATAAATATCATACAAACCGATGTGGTATTATGGAGTTAGGTACCTAAGCTTATATAAGGTTGTTAGGTATATTCACTTTTCCTTATATATATATATATATATATATATAGGGTTAAGTTCAAATGAGAACACTATTTAATGTGAAAACGTGAGAACACTACTTTATGTTAGTATTCTACTATGAATTTAATATGTATAGTATTGTAGTAATTATAATATAAATATATTCAATTTTATATTGCTATTCTACTATAAAATTTATATATATGTGTAGTAATTTAGTAAATTCTAATGTGAATGTTAAATATGTAATTGTTCATATATTCGGTGATGAATAATATCATAAAGTTGTACATACAAAATTTTAATGTGAATATTAATGTGTAATTGTTCGTATATTTGTTGATGAATAATATCATATCGTTGTATATACAAAATTCATAGTTGAATAGTAAGATAAAGTAGTGTTCTCACGTTCTCACATTAAATAGTGTTCTCATTTGAACTTAACCTTATATATATATATATATATATATATATATATATATATATATATATATATATATATATATATATATCTTTATCTTTACTATATTATTAAGGATATTGCCCATCTCTTGAAAATTAAGAAGTACAACATATCTTACCTTATGTACAATGACATTAAGCAATATATGTATTATATTACACTACACGCTACACAAGGATCGTACAATGACCTTACATAATCTCCTAACCACAACCATCTAACCTATTCACACCGACAGATTAACAGATCCAGAGGCGGTGATGAACAGATCTGGAGATGGTCATGAGGACAGATTAATGATACTCAGCATCTTCGATCCTCAATTCGATCGTCAGCCTTCAAGCAGTCGAGGTATTAACATGGCGGATCTCCAGCGTTTCCAATATAAACCTTTTCCTCGCCTTCGATTTTCACCCTAACAGACGTCTTAGCATCTTTGATCCTCAAAAACCCTAAAGATCTGCCATCTAAACTATTCATCTCACCTTCGTAACATCCCTCAACCAGCCACCACAGGTACCCTCAAACCCATCTTCACATCGACACCACAAAAGATGTTGCTTTCCCCGCATTCGATTTTCACCCTAACACGCTCTCAGGTCTAAGCTATCAAAGATCCCGCACATGGAGGGGAGGAGGACACCGCTACTGACGAAGAATCAGGTCTCATCATATTCGATCCTGAAAAACCCTAAAGATCTGCATCAATCATCTCGAGAAGTCGCTGCTGACGACGAATCGGGTCTCAGTAAAACAGACCTTTCAACAGCTGATTCCACCACCTTTAAAGCTTGATTCTGCCGCCTACCACCACCTTTAAAGCTTGATTCTGCCGCCTACCACCACCTTCGTAACCTCCCTCAGCCACCACAGGTACCCTCAAACCCATTTTCAACATATTTATGATAATACAAATTTTTTTATGCTTTCCTCAACTGGAGTTTGCACAATTGGGTATGTTTATTGGGTAAGTAAAAAATCTAACTTTCATCTCACAGTTTTTGGTTGCAGAAAAGAATCCAAAATTGCTTCCACGTCCGATTAGTAGTTTAAAGCATCTAGGGTTGCTTGGTTTTCAAGTTGGTGCTTTAGAACAACTTCCATTTGAATATATGTTGCTGGTATTTGTTAATTTTTTTATTGGCCAAGTCAAAAGAAAATCTTAAAAGTCTATTAATTTACTGCATATCGATAATTATAGGTTCTTTCATAGAAAAATGATGTTGACACAATAAAACTTTAGGTGTTTATCTCCCAATTTCTCAAATCTTTCATCATAATTTCGCTAATTAATCGACAATTATCAATTACTAACTCAGTTATCATGTTTTTTTTATTAATTAGGGTTTTGCTGATTTTCTGCAAGAGATGTCATCTTTAATGGAAAACGTAAAGAAAGAGGTGAACAGCTACTCTTTGATTTCAAGAAATCCAAATTTGACTTGTATTACTACCATCGGATTTAAATCTAACATGCGGAAAATTATTGGATTTGACAGGAGAAAAACTATAGTTTTGGGGAACTATGAACGCTTCTTAGACGTGAGGCTTACTAGAGATAACAACATAACGACTGGAAAGATCTATCAGCTACAATTTGTGTTGTATCAAGTAATTCCTCTGTTTTGATAGAACTATTTTATTTCCAGCATTTTTAAATTGGTATTTTTAAATGAATGGAAACAAATTCAGGAAGCTTATTCAGGTAATTCTATCAAATAAGCAGTTGCTACGGTTCAGGCACGATTGAAGTGATCCAGCTCACAAGTCCTTCATTTTCGTTTCAAAAGCACAATGCTGCTCTTGTTATACATACTTTCTTTAGACAATACCTGGTAACTTATAATATGTCTTTATTTAAGTTTTCACTAATTAGCTATAATTAGCAACGATGGAGCTTCAATATTCACCAGATACTAACAATATATAAGATTTTGTTAGTTTAGGCAAGGAGAGCTCTTGAGGCTCTTAAAGGAGTTCTGAAGCTACAAGCCTTGGTGAGAGGACACAATGTAAGGAGGAGGACAAAGATGACACTCAAGTGTATGCAAGCACTGGTTCGTGTCCAAGCTCGAGTTTGTGACCAACGCAAAAAGATTTCAAATGAAGGAAGCTTCGACTCCAACATCTTTTAGGGGTCTCAGCTTGCAGACAACAACTCCATTGTCAGAAATTCATTTGAATATATTTATATTTTTTCTTTTTAACATAATTAATTACTTTCGTTCTTCCAATTTTTTCAATGTTTGTGATTCTATGATTGTAGACAAGAGAAGAAAGTAGCATCAACATGGATGAGTGGGATAGACGACATGCATGTAGACAACTTGTTTTTTTTTGTTTGTTGCTTTTACATGGATATTATGTTTGAGTCTCAAGTTGGTGAGGATGACACATGCAATTTCATCAAGAGTGGACAAATCCATCATCTTTTTTAGTTTTATAATTAAACAAAACTTATTATTATTATTTGTTTTTATCATTTTTCTTTTTTGATATCATACTAATGTAGCTCCATTTTTTCATGATAATTAGACAAGGAGACATGATTTGGCTGGTATTTTGTTGAATAGAGGAATAACGGAGGGGCAGGAGGAGTGTGACAACCGAACCAGCAGAAGCAACAAGGAACCTCACTAGGACTCTTAGGAATGTTTCAAAAAAAACAAGAATATTTAAGTACCGTATGTTTGTATAGTATGTGGTATGTTTGCTAATAATACTGTCATTTAAAAAGTAGTTAAAATACCCTCTCGTTCAATCAAATCACAAAACTTATATATGAACTTAGGATCCTTACAGGTGAGCTGTAATAACTTAGTGCATACATCAGGGTTACTTATAATTAAGATATTACATGCTTAGAGTGAGTGATTCCACCTTAATTCCTATTCCTTGTCTGGTTCTGGATTTAGGGCAGAGTCACTAAGTCGACAGTTTTATCAATCTTAATTACACATGACTGGTATACACCACGCGATCATAGAGGGACCTGATAGGGATGATAATATGAAGTATCATCACTAACTATTAGAACACTCTTACTGCTAGTACTAGCTTATTGTGGTACGAATCATATGCAATAATAATAACACCGACCAAAAACAGAACGTACTAACGAGAAACATAGGACACACTATCTCGCTAGCAAATATTTCTTTCGAATACAACTTAACACATGTTTCACTAAGAAGATCTGATGTCGATATTTGATATGGGTTGGTTTGGTCCTCACGTTACCAATTGCATGTGCTACGAAAAGACCCTTCGCCTAACCAATAGAACATCGAAACCCTTGTCTTTCATAACTACAAATCCGACACGGACCTCCAGATTATCTCTCATTACAAAATCCCAAAGTACTCAAGGGAGGAGTATTATACCTTCTGAAACCTTTTCAAAGTATTCCCAGCAGACCCTTCGGGAGTACCACTCGTGCAACAGATACAGTTCAAGTATAGGGGATTGAGATGAATACAGTTAACCTACCACAACTAAGTGTACACATGAGGATGATATATAATTAAGATTCTACAGACATTGAATGTGTGTTGCCGCCCTATTTCATGTTCCTTGTCTGGTTGTGGACTTAGAGTAGAGGCACCCATCCGACTGTTTTACCAATCTTAATTATATATGACCTGTATGCACAAGGTGATGATAGATGAACCAGGAATTAGTCCTACCATGAACTCCGGGACAAAAGATACCTAGGACTGTGAGTGAACGTTCTACCATTCAAAAGAATATAGTCAAGTAAACCAAACCCATACACTCCCTACCGATCTAAACAGCAGACGCAATGGTGAAGACCCGTTGGAGCGACAAGCGGGCACCAAAATTCACTTAAGGAGAGAAGCAAGAAACCACGTTTCAAAAGCTAACACAGACTCTGTGTAGAGCTCTGATTTTATCCCTACCACGGGGAACGCAAAGATCAAATGAGGCAAAAAAATACCTGCATCTTTTCCCCAACTCTTAAAGTCCCCATCGAAACGCAAATTTCGGGACGAAATTCCTTCTAACAGGGGGATAATATGACAACCATCAAATTCAGGTCAAAGTCAAAGTCAAATAAAGGCAAAGAAGTCGAATACAGTAAGTACGATATGTACTTGTTTGATAGAATTTATTCCATGTTCACTAATGTACAAACACCTTATATCAATACAAAGTATCACTTGAAAATTTCACATATTTAGAAATTCTAAACCCTAGTAGGGTAAGCGAAAGGAACGACTCGATAAAACACTATTACATACCCTTCGGGGGTGTGTAGCATTCATAATGAATCATAATGGGGAGTGAAAACCCCTACATATAAGGTTGAATGCTATTAACAATCATAAACAAAGTCACTTTAAATCTTTTATCTTTTTATTAAACACTGGGGGCACCCAACCCCTATAACGTAGTCAAAAATTACTCAAGACAGGAAGGTTTCACGAGAAGCAACAAAAAGAACCGAAACCACCTATGGACTAAGCCTACCTTCGGTCCGAAGTCACTTTCGGTCCTGTACTTACTTTCGGTCCGAGGCCATGTTTGATTCATCTCACTACGGCACAACCCGGACTACTCTCGGTTCCAGATTACCTTCGCGTCATCTCTACTCACAGTTCAAACCACTTTCGATCCGAGGTCCAATGAACCGAGACCTCACACTAAATTTCCCTCAGTCTTACAACTCAAACCAAGGTAGAAAACCCAAAAGGGACCCTTTTGGTTCGGAGCCCTCTAAGTCCGGAACACGACCCTCTTGATCCGCATTATTTTAGTCATGTTTTGGGTGAATTTCTCGCTATAAACCATATCTTTTGTGCAAGACATTCTTCAAAGATTGGTTGACTTTTCCAAAAAGTTGTGACACAACCCATTCCCTATAACCACACTATGACTACTTTATGGCACTATTCTCATTGTACCCAATTAAATCAATATCTTTCCCCCAACACTCCATCAGATTTCCCTACCCCAAATCCACTCATTAGATCCTTAATCCTCACCTATAAAACCCCATTCATATCCTCCAAAGGCATACTTTTTCTCCTCCTATTTCTCTCTGGAACTCGAAGATCTCTAAGAAGTTCTCAACTCTCACTTCACTCTTGGTAAGTTCATCATTATCACCCTTGAATATTCTACCCTCTTTCATTCAAATCTCGGTTTTCTTATACAAATATCGTCATATTTGTTCTTAGGATCTTCATCAAGCATCCTCCAAGTATTATTGACTTGGAAACCTCTTTTCTTCAACCATCCATCTCAGGGAATCACTCAAGGTGAGTTCATACCCCTATATTTTCATGTTTTACTTAAGTTTTAAGGGGTAGAATACAAGTTACAACACTAAAATACATTATAACTCAACCAACAGCCTTCAATAGAAAAGTTAGGCCTCATTCACGGATTGTGTTGAATATCTTAAACTTTTTATTTTTCAAAAATGTACAAGGTGCAAATATTTCAGGTTAATACCTTTCTAATTACTACTTTCACATCCTTATGCGATTTTTCTACAATTTATGGTGATTTTTACAAAACTGCCTATCATTTCGAAAACAGAGTTTACGGAATCACACATTCCTAAACTCTCAGAGTTTACGAAATCAGATTTCGACTTCGTATGATGTTTCTGTGATTATCCAAAAAACAGTACAGAAAAGTTAAAACTAGTTAAACAACTTTCAATTTATTAACACTTTGTAACATGTTGAGCAAAGTGTTTAGCAATAAAATTTCTATGTGTTGAATGTATTTCTTGTTAGTTTAATATCACAAACAGAAATAGTCATTCATGACAAGATTTCCAATTACTACAAACATATGTAATAAACTATAATAGGGATAGTTTATGGTGCCTTACACTACAAATACTACAAAAGGGGTTCAGTTACACTAAAGAAAAGGTTTTTCATTCACTCTACACGTAAGCTCGTTGACATAAATTGTAAGACACTACTTCATTGTACTTTCAGAGTATGGTAAAATTCCTATAGTTGTAGCCAGAGTCTCTTGTAGGGAGAGCGTGATAGTTGTGTATAGATCTATATTGGGATTGACAACCCACACCCAAGCTGCTTGCAACAGCTCGGTCGGCAGGTTAGGGGTGACAAATGTCATAACATTCCGACGCCTGAAGAACGTCGTCACAGGTCTTCTATGTCATAGCATGGTTATAACGACTCACATAGGGAGTTAACGAAACATATAGTTTACGGGGATTTATTATTTAACATGGGGTTTATGTCAATTTAAAACCACCTTTGCTACTATAAGTATGAAAATTTACTTGTACATTTCGGTCTTTAGGTACTAAGACTACACTCATTTCATAAGGAAAATATTGGTTTTTTCTTGAAACACATACATTCATTTACAAAGAAAGGTTTTAAATCCTACATGTAAAAAGCTTATGCACTCACCAACTTTATTGTTGAAACTCTTTCAAAATTACTTGTATTCTCAGGCAATGTATGAAATCAGGTAACCGCAAGCTTTTAAGGATGAAACGCTTCGGCGTTTGACAAACTATTTTTGATATCATATTGTAATCCATTTCAAAACATGTAACAATTGAAACTATGTAACCTTTTCGATTATATTTATGATTGATTATATGTACTATGATCACTATTATACTCATTTGTTATGATACTGATGGGTTTTGGTCATAAGACATCCTATGTGCTCATACAAACCCTAATGCTCGGATCTAGGTTTCTCTATTGTACATGCTTTAAATCCAAGACTATAAACCCTAATTCTAGCATATTGAAATCAATATTAACATATAATTAGGTTTAGGATATTACCTTGACTGTTATGTAGCAATAACAATCCCAATTCCACCTTGAATTGACTTTGGAAGACTTAGAGTCATAAGTGTCACTCCTCTAATGGCTTACAAACACCAAGAGCAAATGGAGAAGGTATAAAGAGAGAGGAGAGAGGTTAGAATTCATCCTTAGGACTCCTTGGGAAGGGATACACGAATTCATGAGCCAAGGGGTGTTTATATAGGTGTAGAGATAGGGTTTCAGTCATTATCCTTATCTAGTTGCTTATCCACAAAGCAACCATAAGATAAGCCTTGAAAACCCTTATCCTTTATCCTTTGGACGATTTCAAGGCT